CTATTGATCGAATCAGTTATTGCAATCTCGCTATTCACTAGCTCAATCAACTTTCAACACTATCGGCTAATCAGTAGTGAAGCATGGCCCTATAATATAATTAGTTTTTAAAAACAAATTAATACATAAATAAACTACTACTACTTTTCATCTTTATTTTAAAAAAAATTGCTAAATCAACCAAAAATATGATATTTATTTGGTAATAAGACCTTAGTATAAGTTAGTCTATTCTTTTAATTTTATTTCAATTAGCTGTGATGCCATGCCATTTTGTCCTGTAAACAACACAGTGTGTCACGAGGTTATGTCAGGAGACAAGTTTTCAAAAATCAAATACAAAACAAACTAAAACAATAAGATAATCATACAAATAAAAAAAAATGAAAAAAGAAAAAGACCCATCTTCATCACTGCACACTATTTTAAGGTTTTTGAAATTGAACCCATTGTAAAACAATTTCCTCCACTCCACACTCTGCTAGTCTGCTTTCCTTTTCTTCTCTCTCTCTCTCTCTCTCTCTCTCTCTCTCTCGTCCCTTTCTTACCTGTAAAAAAGATTCTAACTGTTCCTCACATTGCACATTCACTTGAAAAGTCGAAAAGTTCCGATCTTGACGAAAAAAATAAAAAAAAAACAAGATTCAAAGAGAAAAAAAGATGGGTAAAGCTACACGGTGGTTTAAGGGCCTGCTCGGAATGAAAAAAGATAAAGAGAATGTCGACAGCAACTCGGATTACGGCGAGAAAAAGGAGAGAAACAGGTGGTGTTTTGCTAAGGCCGCTAAACACTCCGGCGGGCCGGCTCAGATTCCGGTGAACGTACCACCGTCAGCGGATGAGCAGAACAAGCACGCGATTGCGGTGGCCGCCGCCACGGCCGCCGCCACGGCCGCCGCCGCGGACGCCGCGATCGCCGCAGCCCAGGCTGCGGTGGCGGTGGTCAGACTCACCAGTCAAGGCAAAGGGGTTTCGTTCTCCGGCGGCGGCGGCGGCCGGGAGAGATCGGCCGCCGTGATGATTCAGACTCTGTTCAGAGGCTATTTGGTAGGTGGAAATATTTTCCTTTTGTTAATTGTCAATTATCCCAATTATTTAATTGCTGAGTATCTTTTGTTTGAATGCTTGAAGTTTGAAATTTGAATTTTTTGCTAATGAGACATACAATATACAATCAAGTGTGTAAACTGTAAATGTGTTACTGTTGCTACAGAATGTCAAAGCTAAGATTTCTTTCTTGAACTTCTGTTATTAGAATTTGTCATAAAACGTGAAAAGATTACACCTTTTTATTTTATTTTATTTTTTTTGCATTTTGCTAATTTGATCTGATTTTTTTGTCGTTCCGTTGCTTTCAAATACCAGGCCCGAAAAGCACTAAGAGCTCTTAAAGGGCTTGTGAAATTACAGGCCCTCGTCCGAGGCTACCTTGTTCGAAAACGAGCAGCTGCAACTCTTCACAGCATGCAAGCTCTCATTCGAGCCCAAACCGCTATTCGGGCCCAAAGGGCCCGTCGATCAATCAACAACGACTCTAGATCAAGAAAGTCCATTGTAAGAGTTTTGGTCCCAACCCGTGTGGCCCGATTCCTAATTTACCCTCAAAATCGAACTCCATTGATTTGTAATTTTTTCGTAATTTTTGCAGGAAAGGTTCGATGAAAACCGGCCCGAATTCCACAGCAAAAGGCTGTCGCCATCTTACGACCCGTTGGACCTCAGCCCGAAAATAGTCGAGATCGACACTTACGGGCCCAAGTCAAGATCTCGAAGGATCGTCAACCCTTGCACGCCCGAATTCGAGGAAGACCAATACTACTCGTCACCCATCCCTTGCGCGGCCCGATTATCGATACCCGATTATCGTCATCTCCGAGACTATGAATGGGATTTTATGGCCGAGGATTATAAATTTCCCACGGCCCAAAACACCCCAAGGTTGGGATGTTCGGGCCGGGCCTATGGCCCGATTTTCACACCTACCAAGAGTGTGTGTGGGGATATGAGCTACTTGAGGCCTTACTCGAATTGGCCCGGTTACATGGCGAATACGGAGTCGTTTAATGCGAAGGTGAGGTCGCATAGCGCGCCAAGGCAGAGGCCCGATTTGGGCTCGAAGAGGAGGCTCTCGTTGAACGAGGTTATGGCGTCGAGAAGTAGCTTTAGTGGTGTGAGGATGCAAAGGTTGTCTTGTTCAAGAGCTCAAGATCAAGATTTTGGATTTTCTAAGTGTGGAGGTTTAATTTGATGTTTGTTTGTTTGTTTGTTTACTTAGGTTGATTGTTGTGTTAGGCTTTGGATTTGAGATGATGATATAGCTTTGTCTATAGAGAAGATTGAAACTAACACAAGAAACCATCNATGCATGTGTAAATTTCTTTGACAATAATCATGTTTAGGCTAAACATTGATTATAATGAAATGAAATGCTATTGTTAGTTTCTGAAAGTCTTGTTTTTAACCGTTGTAATCACGCGTTGCATCATGTATGATCAAAAGATTTTAGTTTATTTGGTTTAAAGTCAATGTCAAGTATCATTGTCTTCTAAGAACTAATTTTTCTCTATTCTTTTTATTTTAATTTTTGAAATAATACTTTCCCGCCCGGCTTAATTTATGACATAACTTATGTATGTAGTGCGAATAATGAAATCTCCATGTGACATGGTCGTAATAAATAGTAACGTCCTTTGCTCATTTATTATTAATATTATTATTTTTTGGGCACATTACTCAATTTTCAACTCATGATTGTTGTTGCAACATGATAACAATTGTCCTTGGTAAATTAAACTAGGTCTGAAATTATTCCATCTACAGTTGACAAAAGAATATTCTTCTCTTTCTCTTTAGTACAACACATACACAAAGTTTAAATTTTAAGTTTAAGTAGATTCAATGTGATTTTTAGTTTTATTTTCAACCCATTCCCCAAATTGAAAGAAGGGGCACTGTTTTTGTTTTATTGAATTTTTGGCTCGAAATTGAAATTTAATAAAATTATGTTTGATCATAATTTAGTTTATAACTTATTGGGAAAAAAACTTTTTTCCATCCGAACTATGACAATTTTGGCGCATCACCATATAAATTTTTTTTTTAACAAACCACCACCTGAACTATACGAGTTTTCAAATTGCCCTATAAACCGGATAAAAACGTGGTTTTTATTAAATGATTTTGTATAAATAAATTTAAAATCTAATTATTATTATTGAAGTATTTTACAGAACGCAACTAAAGGCGATTTATCTATATCTAATAAACTGATATAAATTAAAATGCTTAGAAGAAAACAAACATTATCATCACAAACATTTTTATAGTAATACAAAAATGACGAGGACATTCGCGAAAATTCATGTCAGTTCAACATGTATTTCCCAACCAAATACGGCCATCTAAACCATTTAACCCTTTATATATACCTTAATACTGCATAATTAAGTTATTTGGGTTTAAAATTAAAAAAAATAATAAAAATGAAAAATAGGGGAAAAAAAGAACCATGCAATTTGAGGATCAAGAAGATAAGCAGGTGGGCGAGATCAGGTCGACGGGCATGAGTTACGATGACTCACTGGTCAACTACAACTCAAGACGCCCTATCCGTCGGAGCCCCTGCCGCCACCGTCGACGACTACAGCATGTTCATCCCCACCGGAGATGACAGCACGCTCGAGTCCCTCCGCTGTTGCTACTACTGTTTTCTTTCTTTATTCTTTTCATTTTTTATTTTTTATTTTTGAAAATATATATGAAATTTCCGAAATGCCCTCGTAAATCAGCTTTTTTCAGTTAAAACCACTTTTTTATCCGGTTTACAGGGCAATTTGAAAAAACTGTATAGTTCAGGTGGTGATTTGTTAAAAAAAAAAGTTTATATGGTGATACGCCAAAATCATCATAATTCGAATGGGAAAAAGTTTTTTTCCCTAACGTATTTAATTAGCTAGCTTATTAGCATATGATGAACTTTGTAGAAGACTCGAATTAAACTCAGATGATTCTCGAGATAGCGTTTGAAACACCAAAAATCTATTTCAACTAATTTCATCGAACATTTTATCATTAATTTCAACTGATTTCACTAAACATTTTTAATACCAACTAACTTTTCAAATATTTTTATTTTCACTAACTTATCAATTAATTTTACTACACAATGTTATTATATTAAATAGTGTATTGAATATCAGCCCCAATGCATCAACTATAACTCAAAATTATTTATAATTTATCATTTTGTTTTAGATACCAAAAAAACTCCAAAACAAAAACTGAATATGTGGCTTCCCCTGCCGGTCTCGTCGGGCTGCCGCGGCGGTGGCCGTCACTGAGGAGCCGCCGATGTTCATCGGCAGAGAAGGCAGGTCACCCTCGAGTGGTCCCGGTTGCCACGGCAAGAGGAGATTCGTTGACTTCTCGATGGCTTCGCGGTGGTGGTGCCTCTTCGGGAGAGGACTGCGACCTCGACCTACCTCTTTGTGGTGATCGGGGTAAAGGTTTGTGACTTTTTCTTTCCTGTATCTCTCTTTTCCTTGTGCCTGATTGGGGAGACGGCCGACGAGCCTGGGTCGTTGGCCGTGTTGGTTTCGGGCCAGGGTGGCCGGTGGTGTTGGGGTGGATGGGAAGTGGACCTTCGGTAGTGGGTTTGGGGTCTTCCACCTTGGTGTGGGATTGGGTGTAAGTTGCTGATCTAGATAGACATTTGGCAGTTTCTGGTTTTGCTTCTTGGGGCGTGACTCGATGCTTCTGGGTAGTCGGCCGTGGGTATTGCTGTCTTGGTCAGCTCAGTGGAGATTGTCGGCAATAGGAAGGGTTTTATTCTATTTCTACTTTCTAGTAGTATTTTAGTGTTTTGTTATAGGTGTTAGTGTTGTTTAAGTATTGGTGTTTTTTGTTTGTTTTGGTTAGTGTTTTGTGTGTTTTCGATTCTTCTTTATTTTTCGGAGTATGTTCTTTATTGTATCCCCTTGGTATTAGTATTTTCGTCTTCCTTATGGAGTCTTTTTTTAGTCACTTAAGTGTGTTTGTTTAGATTTTGTTTCTCTGGCTGTGAAGGGTCGTGTAGGGGAACACTTGTTGTGTTCTCCACCATTTAATTTCCTATCTAGTCTTAACTAGTAAAAGTTGAAGTATAATCCGTTGATTATGGTTTGTAATTCCAAGTTGTGGTAATACAATTTGACGTATGGCCAAAAAAAATAATTAGCTACCTAATCTAACTAACCACAACATAAATTTGAGTTGGTTTGCTATGATAATGTGGATATTCCTTTCGGTCCTTTTCTCTTGCCCCAAGGCATAAAATGTGAAAAGTAAAAATAATACTAGTACATTGCAGCTTTTTATCAATGTTTCAATATTTCATCATGCAATGGTACACGTGGCATGTTGTGGGGATTCAAAAAAATGAAATATGGAGTAAAAACTCAAGAATTATTGGTCAAAATAGGCCTATTTGAACTTTTATGATGTAATTATTAGATTTTGATTTTAGCTGATGGATGTGTTTGTTGGGGGATCTCTTGAAACTTGTGGAGTTTGCTTGTTTGCATCAAAGAATATCAAAGTACTAAACTTTGTTAAAAGATATAATAATGATAATAATAATGAGGCTGTTTTGGTAATTGTGCCATCTTTTTGACTACATTTTTATCTGTACTTATATAACTATACGTACATCACCTTTGGATGTATCTCTATTACCGAGTTGATAAGGGTCACATTTTATTTTTTTGCTTTGTCTTGGGGCAATGAACTTGGTTTTGAAAAATAAAATTAAACTGTCACACATTATTTCATTGTGATACTATAAAGACCCCAATTTTATTTATTTATTCTTTTCATTCGTAGAATATAAATTTTGAATCTATTATCAATATTAGTTTAGTTTAGAATGATATATGTGATACATCGACTATGCGTTTTAGACTGTTGAGAATCGTTCGAGAGATATTTGTTGGATGAAATAAAATAAACGTAATATTTGTATTTGAGTTCAAAATTGTGATTATAATATATTTTCCTAAGCGCAAATACATAATAGATTAAATGCATCACGCTATGTGCGATGGAGTTAGTGTGGTCATAAGCTCAATTTTCATCCTTTTTTTTTTCCTTCAATTTAAATTTATAGAAAGCGGAATAACGATTATGATTAGATTCACTGCGCTACGCATGGTGGACTAAGAGCATCCACAATGCTTTGGATTCAATCCTAAAAAATTGTATGTCACTTAAGCAATAGACTCAGTCTAAAAAATGTATTCTCCAATGCAAATAAAAGTAGACTAGGTCCTGTGGCACCCAAAAAAAGACCTGGTCTCCCCTTAAGTCTATTTTAGACCCAAGTAGAGACCTAACTCTTTGCATTGGAGTAGATTTTGTTCATTTTACATAATTTTATCCATGTCATCCAAGACTTGAGCTTATTTACATGTCACATAGGCAAGACTAGACTCAATGCATTGTAGATGCTGCTAGTTTCACCATTATTAGTCCGTCTTAGTTCATTTACAACTTTTAGTATTTTCTCTTTTGTTTTTTATTTATTTCCTATTTCATTTACGGTTCGAAATTTTTATATATGTCTATAACTTTATTTTGAGGGTACTCAAGTTTACATATTTATTTTTGTAATCTCTCTATATATTAATTCAAAACATGTTGAGCTTAAGTGGCAGATTCTTAAACTTCAAATAGTGACATGGTGAAAATCTATTCTTCGTAATGTTGTTTGTATATTCATTTTTGCTCTGGAGTTAGGCTTGGTATTAGACATAAATAAATTTTTTCAAACTTGGTAAGTGTATATTTAATTTTGTTATTTTTTCTCTTAGTACACATTTCCTTCTTAGTTTGGGTAAGTAACATGCTTATCATATTATAATTTTCTTTCATATAAATTACGATTTACAAATCATTTTTTGCACTGTCTATTCCTCTTTTTTTATTTTTCATCAATTAGTCCATAAAAAATTTTAAATAAAAATTTTATTTTAAAAATAACTTTTATCATGTATTTCTTAACTCAACAGTCGTGTAGTACACTACTACACGACTATTGTACTAGTACTTATTTATTTTACTAAAAGTACGTTTGATTCCTACTTTTAATCAATATTTCATATTTAGTTTTGTAACACTTTAATTTCTTTTATTAGAAATACATTTGTGTTCTTCTTTCCAATTGCAGTATACTCATTATTCTTTTGGTTTTATTATATTATATACTAAAAGTAAGAAGTTTTGACTTTTGAGATAAATATTTAAAAAAAAAAATAATACGAGAATCCAATTATAGGATTCTATGTCCTACTTTGTGTTTTTCCATTATCATTAGTAGACGTGGAACCATTCTTCTCGTTTTGTGGCATTGGTGAAGTACTAAGTTCATTGCTTATGTTTTAAATTATCATAGTATATGTGATTTATGAGGAATATTATAGTGAAAAAGTAACACACACATGTATTTGGTTTGAAAAATTATGATAAAATGGAAGAATTAATTTAACTTTCAAACATGGCATGTCCTAAAGTAATTTTTACTACATGCTCATACATATATTCTCTAATTTTTAAAATAAAAAAAAAAAATATAGTAAGAATTACATAAACCTTAAATGTCATATTATAGAATATATTTTCTGAATGCGAACAACCCAACTTGTCTTTGCTATTTTGCTTGTCTTTTTCACCATCCAACTTGTTTTAATTTCTGAATTGTCTCTTAAGTCTTGGATACAAAATGAATATTTGACTCATCAGTTAATTAAACAAACAATTTAATTTAAATAGACCAAACACAAAATTCTAATGACTACAGCTGGAAATTTGAAATTAGACCACCAAATTAAGCCAAACAAAAATATCACCCCTAAATAATTGGCCTGCATGTCGCTCTAAATTCAAACACACGTAACTAAGTTTATAATAATCTCTCGTCCCAATAACAACAAAGGGACTCAGTAATTAATTTATTAAATAATTAATTAATTATATTATAACTAATTTCTGGTTGCTGTCGTCATCTAATCGCTAATTGAAGACTAATTGCTTAAATAATTAGCATTAAAAAATAAAATTGTCAGGAGATTCCGGAATAACAACGATAAAAATAATTCCGAATCAAGATACGGTAGAGATCTAATGGGACTTATTGTTATTGAGTTATTTGTTGTTAAATATTTCGAACATTTAGCTAGTGATTGAATACCAGACAATATTTCTTAATGCAAATCGAGAAGATTTTAATGTTTATATATTATCCCATAGTAGTACGTTGAGGAACTTTGAATTTCGAAAGAAAAGCTTGTGTGGTCGAAAAAGTATCCATTCAAAAGCAAAAACACTATACAATATTTTGAATCAAGCAATGTTGTTCTTTTTCTCTATGATTAACTTAACGAGATTATAGTATACCTAACTATTGTTGTATTTCTTAAATAAATATGTATAATTTTATAAAAAATGTATATTAAAAATAAAAGTAATATATTTCACAATATAAGTATATATTAAATTTCGTTAAAAAAAGTATGAAAGATCAACAATTAACTGTTAAGTATGAAACCGTATTAGGAAATTGGGGAACCAGTATTAATCCTCTTGTGTANGACCAAGAACAACTTTTAGGGATTGGTTTTTTTTTTAAAAAAAAAAAATATTTTTGATATGCGTTAAGGACCTAATTGCAATTTTTAATTCACCAAAATGCCACCTCGATTAGAGTTTTCATCGGTTGGTTCGGTCAATCCGGCCGACCGAAATGTCAAAACCAAAATAATCGAGTTTAACTTTTGAAAAAACTGAACCGATTGAACTTTTGTCCCAAGTCAAAATAAAAATGAACCGAAATAATCAGTTTATTCAGTCGGTTAATTGGATTAACCAAAATAACCTAAATAAAATATTATTTATATTATAAGAAAATATTTAGTATTTTAATATTTTTATTAAATATTTATATTATATTTGGCTAAAAAATTAATACATTTATATAAATATACAAAAAAAAACTATATTTGTCGGTTAAGTTATTTCTATTTTAAAAAATAAATCCGAAACCAAACCAAATCAAATAACTAAATTTTTAAAAATAAAAACCGATAACCGAACTGACATATAAAAACTCAAATCAAAATTTTATTTCGGTCGGTTTTGGTCATTTTTTTTGGGTTTGGCCGAACTTTGCACATCCCTACCCGCGCTACAGAATGCACAACAACAACAAATTAAATGAACATTAATACCTGCGAAAATGCACAATAGTGTAATAGTATATTTTTTATTTTTCACGTGTGGTCATTGCGCATAATATACTAGTATACTATGTTAATATGCATTCTAGAAGGTATTAATGTACATCTTGTATAACACTATTGTGTATTCTGCATCACGAGTAATTTTAAAGTGCATACCCATACACAATATTGTGCAATATAATTATCAATATTAGATTTTTGATAAAATACAAATTTTACCATGAGTTAAATTATATTGTAGTTAAAATTCGTAAAATTGTTGACAAGTCCCTATAACTTATCTAACTTTCATTAAGAAAAACCCCTAGTCCCATATTAGGGTTTCACCATCTACCACCACCAACACACCCACCACCCCTCTGCCCACCACACCAACACCAGCCGACGTATCGGCTCTTCCCTTGTCAGAGGTGCTCCATCCCGCAACCTGCTCGTGTCTGTGGAAGTGGAACGAGGAATCAGGGGCAAAAAAAGATTTTTTAGTCCCTTAACTGATCCCTTTTTTTAGTTTTGTCCCAGTAAAAGTCCATTTTTGGAAATGGTCCTCTAAGAAAAAAAAAATAGTTTTTTGGTCTTATGACCACCTATAGGATAAAATGCCCAAAACTAGAATTCAAAATTTTAATCTCTTGCAACAAAAGAGGGGCTTTAGCCATTTGATCCACGACATCTTATGTTATATACTTGACTCCAATTATATATCTATGAGTATCGTTTTATAAAAAAAAAAATGATGATAATAATAATAACTCAATTTATGTCACTTTAATTACAGACATTATACATAATATATTTATTAAATATGTAATAATTACGAATTTAAAATATGCAAATTAAATAAATAAGTAAGTTATATTATATTAATCAATTATCTTATTTTATTTAACTTTTATTATCATTTATGTTGTTTTTACACTAATTTATCTATTTAAATTTAAATAAGTTTTATTTATATTAAATAAATTCTTACTAAATAAATAAATATATTAAATTATATAAATAAATATATTAATATATAGATTATCCTTCAACATATTAAATAAATAAATATGTTAAGACTTTAATTAAATAAATATATTAATAATTTATTTAAATAAATAGATTAAAAGTATTTATTAAATAATATAATATTATTTATTTATTTATTTAATTCAGTTATTTTTATTTTGTAATTAATTCATATATAAATAAATTATGCCTAATTTTTATAAATGAAAGTGGTATAAATTAAATTATTATTTACTAACACTTTTAATTATAAAAATTTACATAATTTAATTATACTAATTTAATTACCTTATTTTATTTAAGTTTTATTATCATTTAAGTTGTTTTTATACTGATATACCTTATTTAGTTTTAATTGAATTTTATGCATATGATATATTTAAATAAATAAATAAATTTATTTAATTTTATGATTTTTATTTTCTAATTAATTCATATTTAATAAATAAAATATGTATACTTTTTAAAATTAAAAGTGGTATAAATTGAATTATTACACCGCTTTTAGTTAAAAATTATTAAATAATATATCTATTAAATATGTATTAATTATAATATTAAAAAGAGTAAATTAAATAAATAAATAATATTTATTAAATTTTTTGTACTATTTTTTTTTACATTATGTTATTTATTTGGAATAAACTTACCTAATTTTATTTTATTTATCATTTAAATTCATTTAATTTATTATTTATTATTATTATTTTATTTTAATTTTACTTTTATTATTACAATTATATTTATAATTTTGTCAGTGTGGATTTTGTCAGTCCCATCATGATTACTCTCTTTATAAACTGCATCATAGTTCTGTCCATCTGCAGGTCCTGGTTTATGTGATGATCTTAAGTATTTTCTGGGTATCAAGGTTGCTTGGAATTCTTCTGGCTTCATTCTGTATCAGCGGAAGTATGCTCTTGACATCATTGCTGAGGTAGACATGGCCACGGGACGCCCGGCCTGGTCAAACCCGTTGACCACGGATCCGAGCTCGGACCGGATTTTCGATGGGCCGTTTCAGGGTCATTATTTCATGACCCTGGCCCGACGGTCCGGGCACGGTTCGGGCCAATGACCCTCTTTTTTTAATTTTTTAATTTTTTTTTATATTATTCTATATTTTTTCCCTTTAAAAAATGACGACCTGGCCCGGACCCGGACCCGGACCCGGCCCGGCCCGGTTACGAGCATAGGACCGTGCCTGTTCAGGGTCCATGAAACCCAACCCGGAGGCCCGGCGGGCTGGGCCGGGCCGTGAACCGGCCCGGGTTTTGGCAATGTCTATGTTGAGGTCGGCCAATTAGGGAGCAAGCCAGCTGATTTTTCGTTGGAGCATAATCATAAGCTTCCTCTTGAGGGTGATCTATTGTCTGATCCAGAGCGCTATCGTCGTCTAGTCTGACATCTTATCTATCTGGTGGGGACTTGTCATGAGCTATCTTATTCGGTGCATATGCACTCTCAATTTATGCATAAACCGCGTCAGACTCACTGGGACTCTACTCTAGGTGTGGTTCATTATTCGAAAGGATCTCGTGGTCAGGGAATCCATCTATGTACTGACTGCGACCTTCAACTCTATGCATGGTGTGATTTGGATTTGGCGTCTTGCCCTCTCACTTGACGCTCTCTTTCTGGTTGGTTTATTTATCTAGGTCAGTCTCCTGTTTCTTGTCGAACCAAGAAACAACCTATTGTCGCTCGCTCTTTTATTGAGGTTGAATATCAGACGATGACTACTACATCGAATTGAAGTGGTTATGGGAACTGTTATCTACTCTTGGTATCGCCCACTCCCAGACTATGCGGTTACAGCTTGACAGTCAGTCTACGCTGCATAATGCGGCAAATCTAATTTTTTACGAGCGCACTAAGCACGTTAAGGTAGATTGCCACTTTGTTCGTGATGCTGTTCATCAGGGTCTCATTTTTACTATTCATGTTCCTTATGAGAAACAACTCGCTGACATCTTCACCAAGGCGCTTAGGAAGCGTGAATTCGATTTCTTGCAAGTTGGACATTCAGAATCTGCATGCTTCAATTTCAGGGGGTGTTATTGTATTATTGTGTATTTACTGTATTAGCGTTACGTTATCGTTAGATGTTTGTGTAGCT